CCAGGGCAGCTCCTTTGTCCAGGCTGGTGCTCCTTGTCCCTCCACAAGGCTGGATGTGGAATTCACCCATGACACCACAGAGAGTTAGACACTGCTATGGTAGCACTTTCAGCTGAGGTCCTCAGCTCCGAATACTTGCTACTGTACTCCAGCTATGGATCTGGTTTCTTAACCCTTAGGTCTAGCCCACATATTTCATCAGAACTATCTGGGGAGCTTGAAGCATCAATTGTTTTGGCTTGAAATGAATGTAGGGCTCATAAAACTTTTATTGAGCTCCACAGCCACGGTCAGCCGGCACCTCTGGATGGCTTGCACAAAGCAAGCAAAAAAGACAATACAGTGGAGTAGCTCATGTCTGGGGGCATGGGAGATACACCATATGTCCGTGGGTATGTCTGCCAGGATCCTTCCTATTCATCAGCATTCACGAACAAGGAAATGGGCACCACTCTGCCAAAGCATTTCTTTTTTGACTCTGGAGGCTGTTCTGCTTCACAAGCAGCAGTCAGGTTTTTCACAGTATTTCACCTGTGGAACAAAGGGGCATTTGTTTTCTCATGGCGGGTTGTGGGGTGAGCACTGTGGTTATTATAGGCCAATAGGGAGCTGGCTCCATTGATCAAAATGCAGCCAAACCCCATATAGCTACCACAGGTTGATTGCATTAATATAATCTGATAATATGATTTGATGGACTTTCCCCTATTATGAAACTGTGGATTGAGAAAGCCTTCCCCATCAGTGGTCGCCCCTCTACTGTTTAGCAAGATAATTTCTCACTCAGCAGACTGACAGCTGTGGAAAAGGCAGGACTCGTCATTGCTGGCCTGTGTTTGGGACTGCTCTGTGATGACAGATTGCAGGGGAGAGAACAGATAGGCAGCACAGTGGGTTGCTGTGAGGGCCTCTTGGAAAAGGAGCTGACAGGGGTGTGAGTGAAGGCAGAGCTGTCTGCTGCGAGGCTGCAGGCTACACTGAGTACTTTGCCGAAAGCTAGGTGCCTCAGGAGGCATTGCTCAAGGAAGAAAGACATAGAATCATAGAAACATAGAATAGTTAGGGTTGGAAAGGACCTTAAGATCATCTAGTTCCAACCCCCCTGCCATGGGCAGGGACACCTCACACCAAACCATGTCACCCAAGGCTTCATCCAACCTGGCCTTGAACACTGCCAGGGATGGAGCATTCACAACCTCCCTGGGCAACCTGTTCCAGTGCCTCACCACCCTAATAGGAAAGAATTTCCTCCTTATATCCAATCTAAACTTCCCCTGTTTAAGTTTGAACCCGTTACCCCTTGTCCTGTCACTACAGTCTCTAATGAAATTCCCTCCCCAGCATCCCTATAGGCCCCCTTCAGATACTGGAAGGCTGCTATGAGGTCTCCATGCAGCCTTCTCTTCTCCAGGCTGAACAGACCCAACTTCCTCAGCCTGTCTTCATACAGGAGGTGCTCCAGTCCCCTGATCATCCTCGTGGCCCTTCTCTGGGCTTGTTCCAACAGTTCCATGTCCTTTTGATGTTGAGGACACCAGAACTGCACACAATACTCCAAGTCTCTCTGCTCACAAGAGCAGAGTAGAGGGGCAGGATCCCTCCTTGGACCTGCTGGTCACACTCCTTTTGATGCAGCCCACGGTTGCCTTTCTGGGCTGCAAGCGCACACTGCCTGCTCATGTTCATTTTCTCATCAGTAAGGATATGCAGTAGAGCTCCTTCAGCAGTGCCCTTCCAGTGTTTTTAAAATTGACAGTACATGTATGGAAAAGCTGGACTCTGTTTCCAAACTGCAGCAGTCAAATGAGGGAATAATGAGAAACAATCTTGGAGCTGTGTAGGTGGCAGTGCTCCTATACAAAAGCTGTGACACACCATCTCATAATTAAGGATATATAACTTCATGCCTGAGGGTTCAGAAGAAAAAGCTGCATAGTCACACCCTCTAAAGAGCTGAAAAGAAGCTCACAATTAAAATACTTTATTCACTGTTTTCTTTTCAAGGTCGATATTAAGAAAGTGGGGAAAAATTCATGCTATCAGAAAGCTACAGACAAAAATAGTTCAATATCGTTGCTGGAATACCTGCCCACTTTATTTTAGTTTTTTGTCTGTTACTAGATTAAAATAAGAATAGTCCCAGGAGCAGAGACTGGAAACCAGAACTTATCTACAATAGTTGTTGAACTGCAAATTTATCAGTCCTTGAGTTCTCTTCTTGTGCCATTAGGCTGTATTCATTTGTCTAAGGGATTCAAGAGGAAGGTGGGCAGTTCTCCCACCCAGCCTGTGCTAAAACCTAGTGCCTGATAGTGCTTGGTGCATTCTCCTATGAGACACAGGCTTGAATTCCAGCAAGTGAATGGGATACACTGAAGACCAGCCCTTCACATCCTGAGCCACATGAATTTCCCCACTACAGAAGTTATGTACTATTTTCACTTTAAAAAAAAGAAAGTCGCTTTAATGGCAGTTTCAGTGAGCTCTATTTGAATACCTGCACAAAGTCTGCTTTGAATGCACTCAATGGATGTTCTCTAAGGACTTGCATCTCGATGCACCTCGTTCCTGAATTTCAGCATGGGCAAAGCACTTCCGTGGTAATGTCAAGGCAGTTCAGACTAAGCAAACAAAAATAGTAGCTGCTCAGAATTTGCAGAAGGTGAAAATGAAATGGCTACAAATTTCGGATACTTCCACATGCATAAGAAGATAAAATTTTTCTTTCAGGTGGCTTTTTTGCATGTACATGCTTAAAGGCAGCCTATGTTCTCTTTAGGAGAGACACAGCGTTATTCTTGTGTTGCTTCTCCTTTCTGCAGCCACCTATAATTCTGTGCATTTAGCATGTTATTCACTGATTCTCCATTACAGACACAAGAAAAGTACAGTTAGGAAGTGTGACTTCTGAATCTGGTTTTCATAAAGCCTATGAACGCTGTGATGTAGAAGTGCTTATAAATCCATTTAGAAAATGAGCATACTTTACAAAAAAAATAAAATCAAGGATCTACTAAAAGACAATTTTTTAATAAATACGGAAATGAGAAGTCTAGATTACCCTGCTGCCATTGCTGTGTGACTGACCGTACTGCTGGAGTAGATTAGCACATTGCACAGTACAGAAAGCATGAAACTGCTTACATTGCCATCAGTCAAGGCCAGGGTACTGACTGATCTTGTGATTTAAGGGCCAAACTCTGGCCCTTCCCTCAGCTGATACCAGGGAAGAAGAGAATACCTAACTCACTGAGATGGTGAGCACCACTTGACCGAACATCCACACCTGCTAATGAATCCTTAAGAAGGGCTGCGGCCATGCAACCTGGAGAAGCTGAGACACTGCAACCCAAATCATCATGCCAAACTTCAAGGAGTGGCGGAGACTTGCTGTGTAAATTTCTACCACCACCCCTTGAGAGGAAACCGCATGCAAAGTTAGCTCAGACTGAACACAAACATAAAGAATGATACTGTAAAAGTGAAACTTTCAACACTGATCATGTCTGTAAATCCAGTCTCAGGCCACGAGCACTAGAAAATAGTATTTCTTCACCTTATAGGCCAAAAGATATACATTTTGTCAATAACCATTACTCCAATCACAGATGAGTTTTTTCCCCGTTACTTCCAGTTCCAGATAGGAGTAGGAAAAAAAGGCAGATCCTACACAGTTCAGTAAGTATAACACGGGACATTAAAGCCAGGAGAACCTGAGATTTTGCAATGTGCATGTACATTTGGGTCTAAGACACAATACCTAATAACTCTACTGGGTTTATACCAGCTCATGTGTTTTGTGATACAATGTGGTTACTGTAAGCTAGTTTGACCAGCTGTAAATCAGTAACCAATCAAAGTTTGGTCGAGCTATCCAAATCCAGCTAACTGATGTGCAAGATGCAGAACCATAGAATGCAGTTTGTGTAAGAAGGGACCTTTAAAGATCACCTAGTCCAACCCCAGGGGCTCAGGGCAGAGCAGCAAACACATCTGAACCTTGATATTTGCAAAGACAGTGTGTGCTCCCTTGGCAAGCTGTGAACTGCAGGGAGAGAAGAGGCGTTGGATATTGTTTGCACAGATGGGGACTGGCTGAAAGAGGCACAGCCTTCAGTAGAATTTGCACCAAGGGGAGAAAAAGCAAAAGAAATATGTCACACAGACATTTGTTTTTTCCCCTTCACAATGTGAATCTTCTTTGCATAGTACATGAGATTGTGGCAGTCATAAAACCGTTGCTATTGCATGTACCAGAAATATCCCAGATGCATCCCTTACACCAAACAGGGCTCACCACATGTCTTCACATTCCCGTGCTCTGGCAGCACAGGAATGGCCCTGCTTAGCCAGCATTAAATGAAGATTTTTACTGCAAACATTCCCCTCTATTTCTTTCACTTTCAGGACTAACCTCCCTCATTCTGCACTGATAGCAAGTGCAGATCCATCCCCCTGCTAACCCACAGTGTCATCAGACACTCAAGAGTGCCAAAATCGAATATACTGAGGGTTGGGGTGCGTATACTCATTTCTGAGAAAAGACAGGAATAACGGGAAGCTTTTTTCCCTTTTGGCATTTGCCACTTCATCAGTGAAATACCCGTCCCTGCATTTTCAGAAGCAGTGTTGATTTTTGAGATTGCGGGTTCAAAACTTCCCCAGAGAATGTAAACACCGTACAATGATAACTTTAGTTAACAAAAGCATCATCTAATAGGTAAATTGGGCTGCCTGCAACTCCAAATTAGACAGTCAAGAGTTGGTTGTTTATTTAACTCTTTTATTGTCCTGCTCCAGTCTGTTCTTGCTCAATCAGGTCACCTAGAGCACACTACTCAGGATTGCCCAGATGGATCTTGAATATACCCAGGGAAGGAGACTCCACAACCTCTATAGGCAACCTATTTCAAAGCCTTTCTTCACTTCTCAGAGCATGGAGAGAGCCCTGTCTTTCATGTCTGCATCTCAGATTGTTAAAATTCACCAACAGCAGCATGTAAAGAAGAAAAAACATTTATTGGAAGCTCATGGCTACAGTTCACAAATCAGTAACTTCAGTGGGGTACTTTAGAACATTTTCTTCCTATTCTTTGAGACTGAAAACACTTGGTTTATCCCCATATACTGCCTTCTTTACTATGTAAATAATTAACCATCGTTAGAAATGTGTGGGTTTGTATCCTGTTACGCCAGACAGCGTGCATACAAATTTCTCTTTGGAGTCATTTCAGACCTTAGGGAGCACACAGGAGTGATAGTCCAGAGAGAGGTGGTGGAGTCTCAATCCTCAGAGATATCCAAAAGCCATCTGGATATGGTCCTGAGCAACCAGCTGTACGTGGCCTTGCTTGAGCAGGGGAGGTGGACCAGATGACCTCCAGAGGTCTCTTCTAACCTCAACCCTTTTGTCATCATCATTAATATGCAGGAATGCATATGAATGCAGGAATACAGGAGCATATGTGGTCATTGAGGAAACAAAATGTTATTCATATCCAATGAGGTTAAGGCAAAATTTACTCTTATTCTGGATTCAGATAAATATTTGCAATTCAGGGAGCCTAGCGGCAAAGCATTCAATTAGCTGGTTCCATGCTAAACTGGTTGTAGAGATCACTTTGAAATACAAACTAGCTGTCAAAGGATTAAGAATGCATTGGGAAAAAATACAATTTTTCATTTTGATCCAGCTGTTTCTCACAATGTTAGAAAATGTCCCTGATTTTAAGGTGAGCAGAGTTTGCCAAAGAAAAGAAAGATATTAGTAGGATTATGTCTAATAAAAAACAAGAAAGGGTGGTCAGCCATAAAGACCTCCTTGAGAGGAAGAGACCTTCTCACAATGGCACCTGCTGTACCAGCTGCTGCTACAGTGCCTTCCTCGTTGACTTCCACGTATGTCTTATGGACAACATTTGACAGTACCAGAGACTTTGCAAATGACATTGCAGAAAGGTCAGCTTTTGATTCACTGAAGACGTCAGTCATCCCCATCTCTTGTAATACCTCATTGAGGTTAAAGGCGTCTTCAAGCTTGAATCGGGGGAGGTATACCTCTACTGTTGTCTCAAACATGTGCTCTGAAGAGGCCCACAGCATTAAATTTTCATAAGTCATTGTGCTTTCAATCTAGAAGATGGGAGGAAAAAGAGCTTAAAATAGTGAGCAGCTTTGAAAAATTTAGATCTTTATCCAGACATAATTCAGACAAAGAACTTCCAGCCACAGTACATGATATATACTGCCTTACCTGCTCCAGCCCACTGGTAGATCCATCAGCCGTATCACCTGGCAGCAGGATGATCATGCTCAGTGTCTTCTGAGCATAAGGGAGTTCAAGGACCTGAGCACTCATCTCCTCAATGTAGCCTAATTTAAATGTTCCTTTCTGATACATCATCTGCACAGCTTTTCTCTTATTCTATTTAAAAGAATTATACAATCAGTACTGCTCTTAACATTTAAACTTATTACAGGTGTAATATCAGCAGTTAGGTTTCAGCAATAATTGCTGTTAGGCTAAATATTTTTCTTCATTTTGTTGCATCTACACTGACACACAAAACATCAGCTTTCCCATGTGTAAATAAAGGGGATAATTCTTTAGGGAAAACAAACATGTAAGCAAACCAACGAACCATTTCCCTGCAACTGATCAGATAATGAAGTTGCTTAATAGTGTTATACTTCCAAACAGGTTGATGCTGGCTGGATTTGCAAGTCCTAACTTGGACTGGGATAAAGAAGAAATAGCACTGAAAGAATCAGGCTGTCATTTATCAGACTGATAGTTTAGACAGGAAGCAATAAATACATTAAAAGCAAAACCATAGCCTTTCTCAGGTATCCTCTTCTAAGTTTTATTATCTTCCCTTTCTTTGTGATGGGGTTGTTTGAAAGCTTTATAGAGGCTCAAATTACCTTTTACAGTTAGCTCACATATATAGCTTCTAGCGTAGTGAAAGAAGACTTTTTCTAATGATGCTTTCAGCAAAAATCCTGCTAGTGTTGATTAGCATGTGAAGAAAAATGTGCTTTTCTATGAAAAAAACTCCTGCCACCTTGACCCAACAGGAGAGGCAGGTTAAATTCCCAGCTCACCCACACCTTGCTCACAGGCAGCGGAGCCCTGGTCATTGTGCTTCTTTGTTATGCTTGCTGCAGTGCTTACGGTATCTAGGGTAAATAATGTTAAGATTTATAGAATGCAGATCTACCTGATTCAGTTTAAAGTCTCGCTGTACAGTTTTTTGTTCCTCAAACTTGTGCTCCCAAGATGCTTTGAAGTAGATTACATTCACCAGCACCAGTAATGCATGTACATCAATCACACCAGGAGCAAAGAGTTCCTTGATTTTACCTAAAGGAAATTTCAGAATACACAGTATTTGTTAGCTGCCATTAAGACTCTGGACTGAGATAATTGTCTGTGAAATTAGTTTTGGGAAAACTTAGAAATCCAGTTCTTGGTTTATTCAAAGGGGCGACATAGGAAAACAAGTGGTAGATTCCTCTACACTGTTTCCAGTCAGAGAGGACAGGGAGGACCATCGAATTAGCCAGCTGTCAGTGTCAGCGACCATATATATGTGCCAGGCGACATTAATCATAAGGACGGAGGCAACACCATTAATCACCTATTTTGGGTTACATGAGAGACTCTTTCACTTTGTGCCATGCACAGCAGTTAACCAGCTGTGGAGCTTCCCACTTTATATACAGAAGCTGAAGTAGGAGTTAGCAGGTTCACAGGCTTCATACGAGCACCCAGAGCAATGATGGCTCCTAACCCTGGGCACAGTGACGGGTGAACCTTCAGCCCTCTTACTGGGAGCCAACTGGAGTGAACAGCTCTTCCCCACATCAGTCACAGGACGCTCTGCCAGTACAAGGACGGGGTTGGTCAGGAGATGGGCAACTGATAAATTACAGAAGCCTTCAAATCTATTTGCCTGTCCCCCAGTAAGTTCTGGTTTATGTTCAGCCACAAGATTTAGAAAACTTTCATCCTGCTGCTACTGCTACTGCAGCTCTGGCAAAACTAAAGGAAAATGCCACCTATCATGTTTAGTCTAATCGACAAGAGCAAATGGCCTCTGCTAACCTGTCAAGGGCAATAGCTGATTGATTGTCACTTGTGATAGTGAGTCTTGCTTGTGGTAACATCTCTGATCTTTGTGGGCATTGCTCTACATATAATCAGGTCTTCAGTAATCCTCTTCCTTTCCCCCCGCCCACCCCAGGCTGTTCCCAGTCTCACCCTGAAGCTCATAGCTTCCATCCCCTGCTGTCCTGTCTCTGTATTTGTGGCTGTCCTGGTTTAAACCCTAGCCAGACAGCTTGTTCACTCACTCCCAGTGAGTGGTGCTGGGCTGAGAGGAATCGAGGCCCTCCCCCCCGCCCCAGGGCTCTCCCCTTCCCCGCTCCCGGAGGAATGGGGAGGAGGATTGAAAGAGTGCAACTCCCACGGGTTGAGAGAAGAACAGTCCAGCAACCAATGTACAACACAAATCACCACCGCTACCACCAATGACAACAATGGTAAGAGAAAATAACAAAGCAAGAGAATACAATACCACAATACCACTCACGAGTCCCACCCGGAAGCCCGTGTCCTTCCGGGTAACTCCCAGTTACCCCCCACCCCGGGCATGACGTGCTGTGGTATGGAATACTTCTTTGGCTAGCCTGGGTCAGGCACCCCGTCTCTGCTTCCTCACAGCTTCCCCTCCTCCCTGGCAGAGCATGAGCCTCACAAAGTCCTTGGTCAGGGTAAACATCACTTAGCAACAACTGAAAACATCGACTTCACCAACACTGTTCTCAGGCTGGAAGTCAAAACACAGCACTGTACCAGCTACCACGAAGGAGAAACATGACTGCTACTGCTGAACCCAGGACAGTGGCTGTGCACCGGAGCAGTTTCTCTGGTTGAACCTTACAGGTTCTATTGCAATTATCATGCCAGGCATAAGGGCAGGAGTACAAAAGTATCTGGCAACAAACACACATTTAATTCAGAAATAATTTAGCTGATAACTTACTCTAATATTTCAAGAGTGAATGGGAAAACATAGTGTCTTTAAACAGCATAAGGTTGAACACCCAGAAACATGAGCAAGTCTGCTTTTCATACCCTGGAATTTCTTTTGTTGAAGCAGTGTAATAAGGCAGTGATAGTATGGCTACAGATTTACTTTGGTTTACCTTGTGTCTCACTTTCAACCCAAGCGTTGATTTTTATTCTGGCAGCTTCAACAGCACCATGAAAGTCTACTGTTTGTAGCATTGCTCCATATAGTTCCTTAGAGCACATTAGAAATTGCTGTAAAGCAAAATAAAGATTATGAATTGATCAAATCTGTTTAGCACTTATTCCCTTTTGAAAGAAATTAATGGTTCAGAACTATTTTAGAAATGGTGAGGGTCCTGTTGACTACATAAGGCAAAATTTCATTCTGGAAACATCAACCATCTGAAATTTATTCAGAGAATCTTTGAAAGATATATTTATTCTGTTGCACAGGCAAAAAAAAAATAAATAAGAAGGAAGAAAGCCAGAAGAAAGAGTCTTTCCATGGGGAACTGCATAGCTGAGGTACAGATAAAAACTAGAGAAGATGCAAGGTGTGTTGTTTAATGATTAAGTATCCAAATCATTCCACAGAAATAACTGACAGAAAAGCAAAGATGTGACTAGCAAGTTATCCATACTAGGTAGTTGGAGACTGCTCTGTCATTCAGTAAGAAAGGAGTCAGTAGTTCAGCACACGAGCCCTACACATGGAAGTGTATAACATCTCAGGTAATAAATGTTCTCCAAGCTTCCTGCTGCCCCAGCATCCAACTTGCAAGCACAGAAGTAAGTAGCTTATGGACAGCTCGAATAGGCATATTTGACTGTAGTCCTACTCTGACTGAATGCAGACTTATGCCAAAAATGAACAGACTCCTGCTTTATTTTCACTCTCTGACCATTGATATCAACAGGATGGGTTTTTTTAACAAAATAACTAAAAGCTGTCACTCTTGTCTCTTTCCCAGAAGCCCCAAAAGATACATGAAGTGCTCCATTTGACATGTGAGGTGGACATTAGCGAGGCTCACAGTTACAGAGAAGCTTGAGTTCGGGGCCACAGCAGTTAGCAGATAGAGGTAACTTACCTGCTGGAGTTCAAATCCTTGTTGTATAAAGAGATTGTTGGCGAGGGTTAAAACATATCTTTCACCAAGGTTTTGTAGTTGTAAAAGCAGTGCCTGGAACTCTTTATGGTTGAGGTCTCCATCCTTGTTACACTGGGAATATTACAAACACAGCAACTATAACTATAATCCCTCCATATAGCTCTGGTTGTTGATTTACATCCTAATTAGATTACACTATAGGGCTATACTGCTGTACTGATTTTTAAATCCAGTTAGTCTAAGCTCTGTAGCCTGATCTTCCTTCAGCTAGGAAGACTCAAGGCTTTGGTATTCACTTCATAGAAGACTTGGACCTTAATAAAGTATCACCCTGTATCAGACATTTCCTACTGGATTAGGCAGTCTATGAGTGTGGTCTTGACTCCCTCCAGTGGCAGACTCTAGTGCTTTATACCTAGAAACCTACCGTGCAGTGAAGACAGGGCTCCGGTGCTTTCTCCATGCAAGGACGTACCTGTGAGGGGGAAAGCTGCCTTTCCTGTCTTCCTTCTGGCTCTGTTTCTACGCTCTCACGGTCAGATCCAAGGCTCGTTCTTCCTGTAGCTTTCCTGGCATGGAGCACCTGCAGTTGAAGATACCAAATTATGAAAACTGTAATTGGGATAAAAGCATTTTCCTTGGTTAAAAGATTCGCTATACTGCCCTGCATAAAGGGTGTAGATTTATGAAAGATATTTTCTCAGCTTCTGCCAGGCTAAAATGACAGACTTGAAATTGTTCATATATTAATGTTCAAATTCACATTTCTATTTCAGCTAACCAGGAAGAACTTGCACTTAATCCCTCAAATTGTTACTCTCCACTACCTCAAAATGTTTACATGTGGTTTATATTTTTATTGTTTCAGTTACCTTAAATTTCAAAACAAAAAGTTGCCTCAGGCAAAGAGATGAAAATAGTTTTCTTTGAAAACATCAAAACCGGCTTTTTGCAATCATTCTTAATCTTTTCATCAGTTTAGGAGACATACCAAAACCACGCTGCTCTTAGTGGAAAATATTCTTTGTTTCTAATGTGAAGTATCTCACTGAAAAATGTCCAGCAGGTTCTCCATCATAATATGACATCATACATAGACAATCTTTATATTGAAGATACTGGACTTTTCCTAAAATAAGCAAGAGTTCCTGTGTATTTGGTTTATGTGGCAAGGTTATGGTAGCCATGGGCCTGCAGTGGTGGCCTCTATAGGAAGAGACTGGGGACTGACCCTGTGTTAGAGCTGGTTCCAGCTGGCTCAAAAATTAGTCGAGTCTGTTTTGACATGACAGTAATTGAAGAGTGACGTCCCTGTCCTTATCTCAACCTACAAGATCTTTCATCTTATTTTGTCTCCTGTTTCTTGTTGAAGAAAGGGAATGAAAGCGTGGCCATGTGGACACCCAGCAGCCACCAGCTAGGTCAACCACCTACACCCTTGAAACCTCATGAGAAGGGCACATCTGCCTTGTCTGTGGGTGACCCAGCAGCCAGACTGCGCACATGGCAGCGCTGGGGCATGACAGATGAAGATCTACCAGTACAGAGCCAGCTACTGGAAAGATCCGGTAGTTTAGGTTTATTGTTCTCTTACCACTCACAAGCACAAGTGAGAGAAGAGGGTTGCAGAAAGCAGAACTTGTGCTGCAGGGAGTAAAGGCACAGCAGCTGGAGAGGTGGCCTCCTCCTCCCTGACCACCTGGGTCCCTGTGAGCTCTCTAAGTGAGACATTTTGACTTTTGAATACTGTGGTAAGTGAGCTGATGCTTCCAGCTACCCGGGTGTTATCACTTCAGGACTCTCCCCACTACCCACAGGGATCCACGCTTTCAGTATTCTCATAGCAACCACGAGAGGAAGCACCTGCCTGTAATCCTGAAACGAAGCCTGACATTCTGACTGCAGGAAAAGCAAGAGTGCCCCACTGTGGTGTATCACCTCCTCCCATTTAGCTCTTGCTCCCTGCTCCTGAATCTGCATGGGGGCATGGTGTGACTCACACATGCAGATAGATGGCAACGATCGTAGTGCACCAAGCACGACTGTGAAGGTAGCACCTGTGTTTGTATTCGTTGCTTGTTTCCTATGAGACCCTCACACACATGTCATGCTAGGATGCCCAACATTTCCGCTAGAGGAAGAGCAAGCAATGTGGAAGCATTTCGGCATGTTTCATTAATACTTACTTCTTCTATCTGAGCAGCAGTGTTGTTTCTTGCACCTAGATGGACCAGGGCCAGGGCAACAGAGATGCTCATTGGAGAAAAGACGATATTTGTATTCTCCGCATTTCTGTTGAGCTTATTGTAGAGATCAAGGCAAAACTCGGTAACTGGCCTAGAAATGGAGCCCATCATGAAGTGGTTTTTGGCTGGGAGCACAAAAGAAAGAAGAAATTTAATGCATTTGTTGCGTAATTAGACCACACTGTGAAGCATCTGCCTGCCCTGAGATTGCCCCATAGCTGCTAAATAAAAGAAGTTTTCTAAATTCCGACAGTTTGAAACAACCATCCTCGCACACATCTGGCGGTCCATGCTACCCAGCAGGAGCAAAGGCACAGAAGGTTTGGGAAGGGTACATGCTCACAACATATGTGAATTACTGAGAAAGGACCATTTTTCTGTCTTATCCCATGGTGCATCCTCTGTCAGGCCATAGTGTTGAAATTAGTCAACTGTGGATTAACATTTTAATTCTCCAAACTGGTTTCTTGTATACAGTTATATCAACTCTTTCTTCTTCTAACAACTTAAGATTAGTGTTAGAAACTTGACAGAAACTACTCCTGCATATAACCATGTCTGGTAACCAGATGTATGAGGGTTTCAAACAACAGGTTTATGAAAATAAAATCACTATTAATTAAATGTTTTCTTATATGAAAAAGGGTCATGAACAGCTATGGAAGCTGAACTACGTACGGAAACATGAACAATTCAAAATACACTTTTTCACTCCTCTTAAGATTGGACTCGGTGATTTTAAAGGTCTTTTCCAATCTAAAATATTCTATGAGTTGCCTAAGAAACACAGATTCAGGCAGGATACACAATTAAAATTTCCAAACAAAGCAATAGCTCAACAGCCCTGAAACGAAGTGTGTAAGTTCCTGCTCAAGGATATGACGAGACCTCTGTCACTCTTTTGCTTTGTACCAGAAGCCTTAGAGTCTGATACCTTTTCTGTGGGTTATTTACATTAAATCCACTCTCCTAAGAACAAGTTCCAAGCAGGAGGCCATCTGAAATAAAGGGGGCTTGAAACTCCATTCCTGTCCTGTAGGAGAGAATCATAAAGCTGTTGTGTGGGTATCAGTAGAACCACATGAGCTTTTCTGGAATCGTTATACCCCCAAAAAACCCACATCACTTTCAGTGTCAAACAAATGATACTTTGGACAGTGCACCAGAAAAAATGTGTGAAAAAACAAAGCAATACACTCCTGCCTGCTTGCAGACATAGAGTAGCTATGGCCTGTCTTCCAGAAAGATATTTTATTTAGGGAAAATGCTCAGCCACAGTATGAAGAGAAGGCTCTTGTGTCTCCAGTGGCACAGATCTGGCTGGCTTTAGCTTTCAGCCTTCACTGGGACAAGCACGGGCTGGGTCCATAACAAGCTGCTGGAGCTCCTCTCCATTGACAAGATGGGCAAGTGCACAGCTGGGTGGTTATTCCCACTGCCTACAAAAGGCAAAGCAGACACTCTAAACCCTGTGCTGCCCAGCTGCTGCTGCCGGCAAGGCCAATATATGTGAGGAGCACAAGCCTGTGTCACCAGAAGGCTAAGTAAGGGTGAGGAGAGGCTGGTGCAAAGCTGAACTTCAGGATCTTTCATTAGCAGAGCCCTTGTAAAACCTGTCCTGGGCTGTTGGTGTCCTGATCCCCTTTGCGAGGGGTCTACAGCCTTCTTGGGAAAGGGCTGTCTGGTGCTGGGGACCTCCATTCCCTTCCAACCAATGCTCTTCTGCTACCCTGCTCCCCCACTAAGGCCCCAGCTCTTCTACCACAGCCACAGTCCCCCTCCTCACAGACAGCCTCCCCTTCAAAGTTTTCTTTTCTCAAAGAGCTATACAAAACTTCTTGAGTTGTCCTCAAGATGCAGAACACTCACTACTGCTCACTCAGTCATGGGCCAGACACAGACTTTGCATGAGAAGCTGAAGCACAGGTTCCAGAAGAGTTACCAGGGTGCTGAGAGTTGATGTGGCTCAGCTGAGATGCACATCTGTCTGCATAAACCATCTTAGCCCACAGCAAGTGCCATACAATGGGAGTGAACTCAGCCCAGAGGAAAACAGACTTAGCCTAAGAGGATTGCTGCAGTGGATTGGAAGAGATGAAAAGTCCAGTTGCTGAACATATGAAAGTGCCACATGTAGCAAATGCAGACGTTTCTTGCCTTTTGACTAGCTTGAAAAGCACAGCAATAATCAGTGCTTCATTGTGTTTTTGACTGATGCTCTGTGGGAAACCTTGCAATGCTGAAAGAAAAAGTTTATATATGTTTCACACTGAGACATTTATTATCCCCTGAAGTCCAGAAGTGCTTCACATACAGACCATACTAATGGGCAAAACAGAGGAGCAATACCCCAAAGGATCGCTGATCAAACAAATTAAAGGTGAGTTGCATCTCATTAATTCTGAAAACAGCTGTTCTAGCTCTGGTATTCGTGTCTTTATATGAAACATCGTTTTCCTTTTCCTTTTAATAACACAGTCACCTTACCACAAGAAAAAGACATTGCGCTGCATAATCATTTCTCTTTTCTGCCACATTCATTACCTACTCTCCAGAACCTTCTGAAAACAAAACTCAGGGCTTCTTCAGTGCTGAAGTTTGTATTGCTCCACTTCCACACCTCTTGGAAGATCTGAAATGGAGCTGTGAGATTGTTCACACCAAATGTAGGTCATGAGGCATATTGCAGGTGTGCCCAAACCTCAGGACAAGTCAAGGAGAAGAAAAGATTTAATAAACTTCCTTGTCAGGAAGGAGGCACCTCCGCCCCACCTTGCAGGGAGAGGACCGACTGCTAAGCAGGGAGAGAAAGCCCAGGAGCTGGGAACAGGTTTTGAAAGCAAGTGTCTGGTACACCAAGGTGCCACTCCTTCAGAAAAAGGAGCAGGCTCCTCAGGGAGATGTCCAGGTGCAAACACTGTGGCCAGCTCCACGCTTTTGTGAGTGGGAACCATGTAGGGAACTGCCCTGGAAACCCAAAGCAAGGGAGGAAAGGTGTGGGCTGGAGGAGGAACTTGGTTATTGCAGAATGAAAGAATTTAATGAACTTTCTGAATCCAAATTTGGGCAGGCACAAGTGTATGAATGATTCCACTCTATAAAGCCACGTGTGTAATCTCTGTAATCACTCAAGCAGTGAGAGTTTTGGAGTTACTGCAAGGACAGTGGAGTTTGGAGAACACCTACATGGTGGACAACAAATGGTAACGTTACTTTTAAAAGATTTTGGAGTGGTAAAGAGAGAAGATATAAGAACAAAAGAAGTGTTCTAGGAAGATCCTAGCTGCCATTCTGCACTAGCCAAAGTATCTGCACTGAATGTCAGCAATAGTGCAAGCAGGACTGGGTCTTTACAGCTGATGAAGGGAGATGCTTTGCATGATGGTTCAGTAGCTTTTAATGTAGTACAGCAGATGGAAATCACTGGTGCTGTTACAAATGAGCAAGCAGCTACCCAGAAAAAGAACCTTGTTCACAAAAAACACTGCATACCAGAGACCTTGTAAAGATTGTATTCTTCCATGGCTGTGTGAAATGATAAACACTCTTTTTCTGTAACTATTAATGCTCTGTTCCTTATTTGCCATTTGCTTTTGGCTAAGGGTAGATGAAATCAAGACAAAAACTCTCAAAAAAAAGCTGTTCTCACAGCTGTCATAATAAATAAATGCATTAGATTATATTAAGTAGTTAACAGGAGAAGGCAGTAAATAAAGTGTGGAGGGTAAGGGAGCTGTAGTCTTGTTTCTAAAGTAATTCTGTATTTAATATAAGGTAAGTAAGTAGGAACCTGTTTTCCCTGATGTCACATGGTAATTCCCATTACGTGTTTTACTTATTCAATCTGCATCCCATTAAGGTGCTTTAATGCACATTCATTTCTCATACAAAAAGGCAGAAATGACGTGTGTCCCTAGAAAAGGAGCACATGCCAGATTGTACTGTCTCTCCACATGAAAAATCTATGATTGGTAGAAGTGACTTTCTTCTTTCTCATGACTGTTCATACAAAAAGACATTTCCAAGTGTTTCTGTGCTGATTTGGAGTGAGAGGAATGGCATATATGAAAAATGGCATCTCCTACAACACAGAAACTCTAAACACCCCAAGTGACACAAAGCACTTCCAAAGTAACATGATTTAAATTAAAAACCAATACATTTCAATACAAAATAACTTTTCAAGGGTAATGTTACCAAGTTCATTTTCCAAACAACTTAGCCTCTCAGGCTGCTACTTCTGTGCCAGAAAGGCCTTTTTTCTGACTGCTTTTATTATTTTGCATCAGTACCTTCAGTGTATTTTCTGCCTCCTTCTAGGTCAATTATTCCTGCATAAACAGACATGGATATACATTGCCCTGTTATGGGCTGCACAGTGGCAAGTTATTTGCTATGTCTATGTGCACCTGCATAGGTTTCTTAGCAAGCTCCTAAACATCACTGCCAAACCCAAGAGCTAATATGCTGCTAGAAAAGACTAGCATCCCCACTAACAACAACAGCAACAAAAATCTGAATACCACTCCACATTTCCTATTTTATATTGTCATTGTTTAAGAACACAAACAATCCCCCAGCAGGGAGGATCAGGGTACAGGGGAAACTATAAGCACCCAACCACAGAATTGCATGCTCTCTCCCTCGTCTAGTGAACTTTTCAAGACTTTTGCTTGTACCATGGAAAGATGGGTAAAGAAGGGAAGTTAACTGGTATCTCCCACTTCGTGGGTCTGTTTCCCCAGGTCGTCAGTACCATTACTTCATGTAAAGCCCATTTCTACCTGAGAGTGTAGAGTGGACCTGAAAAAGCCTAGCCTTCAGCCCTTCTTGACATACGGGTGAAAAAGCCTCTACTTTCTTTCTCTGTAGATCAGCTACTGAACTGATCAGTCCTGTGGCAACTATAGCTTTCTGGATGGGCAGAGAGGTCCTAGTGAAATTTCAGATTCAAAAGCCTCTGAAATTTCAGCAAGAATCTTTATATTCCCAGCTTTGGCCATGTGTTCCTAAATTCCCCATCTACATCCCACTGAAGATCGGCTCCCTTTGTGTGAGCTCTTGAGCTACCTGGATTTTAGCAGTGGTTTCTTCTGCCTGCAGCCTGTAAAGGTATCCCCACTCTGTCACATCTGTAAACATGATGTTTACTTTACCAACCTGCAGACTACTTTAGATCTGCCAAAAAAAGAAAAGCAAGAAAAGTTATTAAAAAAAAAATAAATAAAGAATTGTTAGAATCGTTTACCTTCTTGCCCGAACAGGTTAAATGAAGAGCACAACAGCTGAGCTCTGGAGCACGTTCTTGTGAACACTGTATTACAAAAATCTGCCACTCTCATGTGGGAAAGCTCAGCCTCTAACCAATTGCTGATGATAGCAGCATGGTGCAATTTCATGCAAATGCCATCAACACGAAGTTCCCTGCAGAAGACTGGGAAACCTGTATCTAGCAATATGCTAATAGTATTTTTTTCAAAGCTGCCCAACAAGTTTGTCAGGCAATATCTGCTGGCAACATCTCCTGATTGCAATGCCAAGTCACCCTCAGCCGGAAAACTGGCATTAACCCTGAAGATCCATGGCTGTACTGCTGTGCAGTACATGGGGTCTGGCCTGGACACAGGGATGTGCAGGGCTCATCCCAGGATTCAGAGAAGTCTTGTTTGGAGCTGAGTTTGCTTGCAGAGATAGAGCGAACGAATGGGAAATGCATGAGCTTTATGTTGCCTACAGCCATCTCTCTCAGGTAAGGAGTCAGCTTTATGTGTATGGAAGAAGCTCAATTAGAGAGAGGAAGAAGTATTTCCTTGAACTGTAGCAGGAATCCCCAGCCAGGGGGTATTCTTTTAAATCATTGGACTTAAGAATAAAAGGCTAGGAGTGCTTTATCACATAAGTCATGTCTCCAGCATAAATTGAGATGGAAATAAAGAAGTGGGAAGCATGGAGCTGCCCCAGCACAGGTTGCTCAGGTGTAACACTGGCTTACGGCAGAGGGACTCAGGGGTCAGTCTTAAGTCCTCTAGGGTTGTATGTGGCTTTGCAACCTGGCAAACTTTCAGTCTTTCCGTTGTCGTCTCTTCTGTCTTCCTACAAAACATAAACCTGACTTTGGATTCATAGGATATTTGAGGCATCGGATATAGTGAGGGGGGAAAGGAGGAAAGAGGAAGAAGGTCGCCCAGCACCACCTTCACCTTCCCAAACTTCCCTTCTAGTGTGAAGCTGGGTGACCCTCTTCCTCAGGATCAGCTACCACCAGCTTTGCTCTTTCCTGCTCCACTGCCATGGTCTCAGCCCAGCTGGCCTGGCTCCAGTGCTCCAGTGCCCATCTGAAAAGAGGGGTTTGTAAACAATGCAAGATACAATGATGAAATGAGTGCTCTTGTTACCCCTGTTCTTTTCCTCGCTTTTGGGCTTCCATTTGCAATTCACTTCTATGTTTCTGGTTTTCCTTCCTGGATGTTTCTGCAGTGTTCTTTAGTCTTCCTCTTCAGTTCTTTCTGTCTCTTTATCTGTTGGGTTCTCTTTTTAATTTATTTCTGCACATTGCCTTACCAAATATCTTTTCTTCTGCTGCTTCCACGAGTCCTAGACTCTTTTCAGTCTAAGCATTATTTAATATCTTTCAAGACTTTCCTTCTTCCAAATTCCATGCTTCCTGCCTCCTTCTTATATTAACATTATTCCTCCAACAATTTATTTCCTCTGCACATATTCCCTCAGAACTTCCTTGACATCAGTTTAACTGCTTTTCCTCAGGAAATGTCAATGTATGTGTAAATTCTGTCTTTTCTAGGCCCTTAGGACAGTATATTCAGGGTTCAAATCGGTACTGCTTTTCCAGTGGGGCAAATTTGCTCTATGTAGCACTTTTCAAGTTTCAAAACCAAAGTGCTCCTCCCCACAAATAACTTTTGTAGCCAGAAGACATTAAGATGTACCCCTTCTCTTCTAAAAAATGCTGGGAGCAGGAAGTGGGCAATGACTGTGCAGCTGAGCAAGTGATGAGATGACTCAGCACATAACACTGCAGTTTGCAACTGCCTGCAAAAGCCAGCCACAGCTTGCTTTTTTTTCCATTGGGGCCATCACCCATCACTGGATAGTAATGCTCTTTTGAAAGGTGAGGTGGAGCAGCTTGGCAATCTGAGCAAGTCCTCAGCTATGTTCACTTTCTCCATTGAAACCAACACCTTTCAGCACGTCACTGTTCCTATAGACAAGCTCCCACACACATTTTCCCATGTCCTCCCATGCAATCCCTTGCCCGAGGCCCAGGGGCCAGCAAGGGTGGGACTGAACAATAGACTGTAACAGCGTTTCTCTCACCAGCAGGAGCCTTACTGATGCTTCTCCCTCACATGCTGTGAGACAAATGGGTGTCATACTTGGACTGGTAGAGACAAGAGGCAGAAGTAAAAACTGAACCTGAGCTTTCATGGGCAAGATACCCTGTTTATAAATGACCAATAAATGGGTTTGCCTTCTGCTGACTAAAACAGCTTTGTATCTCTGACATCTGCTTGCCTTGCATAGGCTAGGATACCTTGGTGTTAGTCAGGAGGTGGAGAAAGATGGGCCCCACCCTGAGGCACTGTTTGTCTCTGCTTTCATGGGATAACCCTTCCTAGCAAAGCCATCACAAGGAACTCTCTGAGAAGACATGCTTACATAAATTTGTGTGCATGTGCTAAATGCTCTCTGCAGCATTTTAACAGAGTGTGATCTCCTTTGAATAAAGACTGGCTCCTTGGACTGGAATGTTTTTAGAAAGTGAAAAAAGAGGCTGACAGAGTGGTGTCTGAGCTTTTCTCCTTCAGGTAATCTCATCCAGGCAGAAAAAGAGGGATGGGGCAATCTGTCAGAGGTTTTCATGAGTCTAGCAGGCTTATGAAAGTGCTAGCATATTACAATAAGTTTAATATGCTCTGCTGGACAACTAGAACTACCTGACAAAAAATCAGTGCCTAAACACAAACTGTACTGATTATAAGTAACTAGTCCATCTTGCCTATGTATGGACTGCCTGTGCAGCTGCTCAGTCAGTCATCAACCCCATGTGCAATATCATATGCTGAACAGCATCCTACAGAACCAATACCAGAACCACAGTGACAACAGCCCTGCAGTAAGTCTGACCCCAGCCTCCAAAAGAGATTAGACAATGATGGGGTGTGTAAGACAGTTCCTAGACATTCAGCTATCACTGAAGTTATTGAGCTGATAAAGATCTTTGCAGGCAATTCTTTCTCAGACAGGATGGGCTGCAAAGTAATTGCTGTACTTTGCATTCTTCTTCTGACTATTATCCATGTGCTGGGACACATGTATCCATGTATCTTGTGGGTTGGCCATGAATCAAAACAGAATTCCCGTCTCCAAATTCACAATAACGACTGTGTTGCTTTCTGGTGTTTGCATGATGTATACAGATTAGGGGTTGCATGTTCCTGTTTAGAAATCTCCTTCTGATTTCTTTCAAACCTGAGGTACCAAGAGGAATTCTCAAGTAAAACGCTCCCACTTTTTGAGGATACATAACTGAATTATTTGTAGAGTGGTACCAGCTCGTAACATAGTCCTTACTGGGAGCTATTATTAGGTGGTCCAGAAGGGCAATCCAGACATTGATTTAGTTTTTTATTTTGACTTTGTGGGCTAAGTAAATGGGTTCATTTTCATTGCTATCATTTATTGGAGGCCAGGAGTGAACACTGACAGTGAACACACAAGAGTGAACACACCAGCTGACAAAGGAGGTATTGCGGACATTTGACACGGGTTTTATAGTGCTTTATTCTGAACAGTAATTAGGTAAACCAGTACTGAACACATGCAGCAGGCAGCCTTTAGACACAAATGAAATCTGATTACCATGACTTCATATGGAATTTGGAGACTGGTAATTACAATGTTAATCTCACCCAAGCTGAAGTCCTTATTTCTTTCTCATGCCTCAGACATCACGTAATTGTATGGAGTCTCCTTAATGCTGAATCCAGAACTAGAAATTGCAGACAATCTGTGCATGAAAAGTGTGGCACTTCCAGTATAAATCCAACTGTTTTGTATCCTAGAATTGCATAATTGTTTTTTTTCTCGGGATATATAGAACAGGACTCCTTGTAGCTGCAGTGAATTGGTCCCATCTTGTCTAAAGGGCAAAGAGTCAAAAAATTCCACACAGTAGAGTCCAATTTACAAACCAACGCAGTTTACGCTGAAGACGTCTTCTGGGTAAGCATTCTGTCACCATGGTTATTGCCTCTTGCATCCACAGGTCTTGGTGTAGCCGCTGTTTCACAGATGCAAACTCTGATGCTAGCCTGAATTGTCTAGCTATGCTGCCGAACTTGGGCAGTGTTTCACTGGGCATTGGCAGGATTCAGCAGGGCACCCTGGACCACCAGGGTGTAGCCGGGTACAAGGAGAGGGCTGTCACACCAAATGTCCACATTTTCCCCTTCTAGGCAGTAGGAATCCACAGAGCATGGGTCACAAGGAAGAGTAGTTTGGCTAGGGAGCAGGAATGTAGCCCTTCCTCCCTGAGCCCTTTCCAACTCCTGGTCTACCTAAAACAGGCTCCCAGTTCACTTTGTTTGGGGAAAAAGTGTCATAGAACAAAATATATTCATTGCCAAAGCTGGCATACTTCTCAGTAAAACACTATGTGTTCTTCACAGTTAGAATCCTTCAGCTTAAGGGGATGAAACATAAGAAGATAAACTAGTCCTGCTGCATATGTAGAGTACATTGTATTACCCCACTCATATATGAGACTCCCGGATTTCCTTGCAGAGGTGGTAGTCAGGATGCCAAGCTTTATAGGAAAATGCACCACCATAAATGTAATTGTGCTTTTTCATAATGAATACACCCTGATTAAGGAGAACAGAATCGGCCTGAAAGAATCACATTACGGGTTTTGTTGTGCCTAAACAAAAAGATAAATGGATGGTCAGCTTTAAATTCATCTTTGTGTTGCAGAATCCGATATCCTGGTACCTCTAGTGACTCGCCACCTTGTTCATTTACTTCCAAAGAGACTTTATGGATGATTTTTGACATAACCACACCTTTGGTCTCACACATCTCAGAGAAATCAGATGCATTCTCATTGAAGACATTTGTCATTCCCAGGCTTTCCAGAAGTGGTTTCAGATCATAATCACCTTCCACGCTAAACTTTGGGAGAAATACATTCACTTTGGTGTTAGCCATCATGCTGGGATTGGTCCACTGTAATAATGTCTCTGGGGTGAGTGCCTTTTCCAGCTGAAGACATAAAGGAAAAATGGAAGTTACTGAGCAGTCCAATGAAAGAAGAAAAAAAAAAAAATATCATTCCTGACCTTCCCAGTCCTATCAAGCCCCCAGAAAGTAAAGTCCAAAAGGCGACCTTTGCTTTTGAATTCACAACTGTAGCATTCAGGCTTAAGCTACTCTCAGACGTACTGATGCAATAAGACTTAAACCATAGAACACGCCGCTGGAGCAAGTCCATTTTACG